GTGCTGATGTTTCCAACGCATACCCTCAGAATGAAAAAGGTAACTCAACGTTACTCATCATGGAATGTATAATATCTAATAGGGTACAATTCCTCCTTTCTAACACGCCATTATGCTATGGTGTAAAGGATGGAGTAACCTGAGAGAGAATCTCATTCTCTTTTAAAAAACCCAAGAATTTCGAGCTAAAGTATTCACCTACTCGATCTGATCGAAGAATTTTAACTTTCTTGCTCGTTTGGTTCTCTACTTCATTTTTAAACTCGATAAATTTCTCAAATGCTTCAGACTTGTGTTTCATCAAAAACACATGTCCAAATCTTAAAAAATCATCAGTAAAAGTAATAAAGTAGGAGTAGCCACCTCTGACTATTGTAGACATAGGACCACATACATCACTATGCATCAGTCCTAAAAGTTCTGTAACTCTTGCTCCCGTTCCCATAAATGGAGTCTTAGTCATTTTACCTTTAAGACAAGACTTGCAAGTATCATAAGACTCAAAGTCAAATGGATCTAAATATCCATGCTTATGTAGCTCGCCAAGTCTTTCTTTATTAATATGACCAAGTCTACAATGTCATAAGAAAGCGTCGTTCATAACTGAGTGCTTTCGTTTATTAGTGTGATGAGTATTCAGAATTGTGTTTTGATTAAGAATATAGATGCCATTACACAATGTTCCGTAAGCAATTAACTTTTGATTAAATATGATATTCATAACATTGTTCTCTAACTTGAATATATATCCATCTTTATCTAATAAAGATATGGATATTATATTGCACAACATAGTTGGTACGAAATAGCAGCTTTTCAAAATCAAAATGTTTCTATTTGGCAAACCTAGATAAAAATCTCCTATTGCAAGTGCTGCAACTATTGCATCATTACCAACTTGTAAGGTCATCTCTCCAGCTCTATGTTTCCTATAACTTCTCAACCCCTGTAACAAATTACAGATATGAGATCCTGATCCGGTATCTAATACCCAAGATGTAGGATTTATAGAAAAACAATTCTAAGTAACAAACACATCTGAAGATGAAGCAACATCTTACTTCTTCTTGACGAGTGAGGCTAAGAATTATGGACATATACTCTTAACATTTCTCAACCAGTCTATGTAATTAGGATCGGTTAACTTGTTCTATTCTGATATGATTTTTAAGCCAGACATAATGGTCTGAAAGAGAGAGGAAAAAAATATTTTAGCAGATGTTCAATACATAAAATAGATTTGGATCATTTTCATCTAAGTTATGCCTCCCACTATTTTTTGAGTCCCTCAAAACCTTATAAGAGGTGACCAGAAAACAACCCCTTATTTTCAAATAGGATCAAGATCCAATTATAATTGAATGCATCAACCTTAACGTATGCTAACAAATTGATACACTTAATAATTGGTAGACAACTTTTGTTTTTTACACTCTTGTAATTCTTAATATGATTTTACCCCTAGTCTTTTATGACCTTGACGTATGCCAACAAATCACAAAATGCTAGTCATGTTTGGACCCATCATTTCTTGACTGGCTTAAATTTAACTTATATAAACTCTTGACGTATGCCAATAAAGTCGCATAACCAACTTAAGCTATCCTTATATCTAGTATACAGATGAATACTATTTAGCCATAGAATAGTTATGTCTTGACGTATGCTAACAAACATAGTATTTATAAGCTTAATAGTATTCAACTGAAATGATGGAGGGCTACGGATGATTTTACAAATCTTTTACTGTAATCAAACTTGATATAGTTAAAAGATACTCTATATTTATATTTGTAACAATTAAACTAGCCAGGTAAGCGCAAGATTGGTGGGAGGGTTCCGAGCTATTCACCAGGAATATTCATCGGATATTAATTAAGTAACCACCGCTCTTTAAGACTATAGCGCGAAAGATTAGCCATCACCCCTAATCTTACGTTGAGTATCACCCCATGAGCTATATCTCATAATTACTTTTCTTGACACTAGTTAAAAGTTTGTTCTAAATACATTTTTTTAACTGCTTTAGGTTTATTTATCTTTCACACTAACGCTATGTTAATGTCGGTCTCACCACTCTATGGTCAATAAACTCTTATTGTCATGTCTTACAAAGTTTAAAAATAAGTTTTTACAATACAAACTATTCTCTAGTGAGATAGAGATATAAACTTTACAGAATATAACACCCAATTGTATTAACATCTATAATTGGGGCACAACCAACATATCAACATATGTAAAAGCAATATGGAATGATAGTGGACAACTAAAAAAATAAAATTTAACTATACTAATTACATTTTGGCAAGCAATTTACAACTCCTTGCAGTACTAGCTCCCTTACAAATCCTGTATTATTACAATCACATATTCATAGGACGTGCAAGCCCCATTTATTATGGGAAAAAATATCTCGTAGGATGGGTAATAATATTACATTGAATGTAAAATAAAAAGCCATAAATGAAATAACTAAACTATACAACCATACCCCCCCCCCTCACACACACACACACACACCCGAACAAGGGCCTATACTCGTAGGCGTAGCCCATGATCGGTGAGCAAGTGTCTAAACCCGTAGGCGTAGCCCATGCTCGAGGAGGGAAGAGGTCGAAAAAATATTACATTTCTAGCTATATTACATTAATACAATAAATACAAGAGAATCGTTGTCCATTACCATCCATAAACATAACATCCACGCAAGGTGATATAAAACATATAACTTAATCAACATTAAGAAATATGCATCTATCTAGTTATGTAATAAATTGGAAAAACTAGATAACATAGGGATTATCTTAACTCAAATAGGACTATCATGCTTCTAACATACAACTACACTAGTTGTAAAAAAGTGTTTTGTAATTTATACAAGTGCTTTTACTCCTAAAAACTTATGAACCAAAAAATCATATTTTTGAATAGATGACTAGTATAACTCATTACAAAGAATATACAACTACATTAGTTGTAATCAAGTATTTTGCAATTTATGCAAGTGTTTTTTCTACTAAAAACTTATGAACCAAAAATCATATTTTTGAATCAACGACTAGTATAAATCATATTTTTGAATCAACGACTAGTATAACTCATTACAAAACAACTTGAATAAATTAACTAGTTTTTAAATCATATTTTTGAATCAACGACTAGTATAACTCATTACAAAACAACTTGAATAAATTAACTAGTTTTATTAAAACATCTTTTAATTAAAACTTGAATAAATTAACTAGTTTTATTAAAACATCTTTTAATTAAACTAGTAATTAGAAGCAATTACAAAATCCTCTATGAGATAGATATGCATGCAAAGATTCAATTAGACGGAACCATGACTCTAACACCATGTTGGAAATTTGTGCTAAATACATACAAAATACGCAACGGAAGACTGTATGTATAATAATACTAAGCATGTAGAGAACATGAAAAACAAGCTAGGACAATCCTAATTAAATCTAACATGATCCCTATATTAAAGAGCATACAAGAATTAGAAAGTCATACTTTCGAAATGTGATTCGGTGGAAGATTGAACAACCCCTAGCTCTTGCTCCTTGTTGTTGTAAACCTCCTTGTAGTGGATCTTCAAGTCTTCAAGTGAGCTTGATAAAATCGGAGTCTTCTTGAGACACAAGGCAAGATATCCACCCCGAGTTACTTTAAAATCCTACTACTTCCTCTTACTCTAAGATTGCTAGTGTTCGCGGGAAAAGTTGGTGTTTTCTTCATTATCGATGTCATTGCACTCAGTTAACAACTTT